ATAAGTAATCATTGAAATCGGTAGACGTAGTACAGAGCTATTTAAGTCGTGCAAATGCGTTTGTAAATTGAAGATTTAAATGACTCTCTCATGGATTCCATCATCAGATCTTATTGGAACCTTCCCGTTTTATCACCAATATCATCATTACAGCTCTCCACAAGTCGCGAACATACGGTTCTCCAAGTAATGCCACAAGGCACGGTCCTGAGTAGTGAGACTTTTGCACGTCTTACCAGTCGTCACTCCATCTAGTGGGGGACGTTCTACACTTCGTCTACCATCTCGCTTACTAGCAAAATATCAGACAGCGTGGCAAAGAATTATCGCTAACCATACATAGAAAACTATTCCAATAAATTCTGAACCTGTGTCCACCTACTTTTGTTAAGACGAAACATAAAGTCATTAAGATTTGATGATAAGTTTTTTTTTTGGCAAGTATCATGTTATATATCAAAATCATTTTAAAGAAAATTTAATGTAGATTTTGGGATTACTGTTATTTTACAGAAGTATTTGAAATAAATTGAAAAATAACCTCTAGATCATTATTTTGGCCAGTTTGGATTGGATTATTTCTGCCCAATACGGTCCATTCTTCACTCGCAATGGTTTTGTTACTATTATAATTAGATAGGTACTATAAAACGATCAAAGCTGGTGTCAGGAAGTCTAATGGCGTAAATGTAAAAGAATATTTCTCCAATAAAATAAAAACTATTTCTATTTCATTTATTTATTTATTATGTACATAAATGGTAACAAACATTTTTAATAATGGTACTATGCCAGTTTGATATTAAACTAAATAATACATTTTTCTGGTCCATATATAAAAGGTACAATTGTAAAGAATAAAATATATTTTCTTATGGCAATTAAACCTACAAGAAGCGAGTTAAGAGAATGTAGATATTTTTTTTTAATTATGTAAGTATAGGTATGGAGGACCATCAAATATAACTGGAACTAAGCAAAGGGTAGGTTTAAAAACCACTACCTACACTTAGAACTAAGAGTCTGCCAAAAGATATCTCAATTGACGTCTTAGCAATGGCGTTTAGCTGCAGTGCTGAGTTCCCTTCTCGTAAAGATCAAGTATTTGGATGGCCTAAAATGATTGGGTATTGACAGTAGTAAACTGAAACCCTTTTTAAGTAGTCCAAACAATAATTCTATAGAAGTTATATACAAATATAATGTAATTAGGTCGTCGTTTTTATATCAAATAATCACCTCATTTGTAAATTTTAAAATAGTAAACTTGTAATCGACCTTAAAATAGAAAATCTACCAATTTTTGATACACCAGTTATTGTAGCAAATTAAAAATTACTTAGTTTATCGCAAATGCGGTATCAACTATCGAATTGTTTTAGATCTAATAAAAGGTTACAGGCATCCCTTATTAATCTGTGTGATGCACAATTTGGTTTTAGACCGCAGCTATCCGCAAAAAGTGCTGTACTTTGTCTCAAGCACACCGTACGTTATAGCGTATTACGTTATGGCCTGTTTTTTGGACCTATCGAAGGCCTTTGATACGGTTAAATACGATGTACTTTGGAAGAAACTGGCTACTGAAACTAATGACTTTTCTAATGACGTAATAGGTCTGTTTCAGTATTAGTACGGCAATCAACAGAATCGGATGAGGTGGGCTATCTGAAGCGTATGGGCTGGAGTGCGGGGTAAAACAGGGCGGCCTGTCTTCTCCTGCACTTTTTACCTAGGTCTGTGTCGGCCATGTGTAATTTCATCATCATTATTACAGCTTATCTAAAGGCCGCATTTGAAAATGGGCCACCCCCATAGATAAACTCTTGGAGGAATATTTTCTATAGACTCTTGGTTGGCAATCACAGTTTTTTACTTTAGTTGTTATTAGGGGCGTGTTCCTATACAGCCCATCTTTTGTCCCATTTCTAATTTACGAAACGCACGGCATGTTATGAGTTAGAGGATTCTCAAACGCCGCAACAACACGACTCGAATAAATGACTCTTTAAGCGTACCTAATATAACATTATCAAGATTGAAGAAGTTTCAACTAGGTAAAATATACTTAGTAGACAGTGAAAAGGCAAGGGTTGTTTAAAAATAGCGCCTTCATAAGTGGATGCTAATCTTCCCTTTTTAAATTATCTTCTGTTCTCTTGTAGTAATTTCCAATCCTATAACTTTTGGCACTTGCTTTTAAATTTTGGCATAGAAATACCAATTACTGTAGTCAGAGGTGTGCAAAACACATTTGCGTCAACCGTAAAAGGTCCTCCTTACCTCTACTATCTACATTTAGAATGTTTATTAATAACTTCGAAAAGATTTGTGTTACCCACCACCAATTGTAGCATTTTGTTTCTTATGGTGAGAGTCTTTAAAATTAATATACTTACTAAAGAAGTAAACTTTAAAATACTTTTAATGGGAGAAAGTTAAAAGCAGGGATTGAAAACCGTTTCCAAGCTTCGGTACGGTTTTAAGATTTTAGATACAGATTTCAAAATACAAATATTTATCGGGTTTCAAGTCGAAGTTGAATCCATTAATTTCACGTAAAAGGGTAATCTCATAACACCGTTAGTTTTGTCGTTAGTGTTGAAACAAAAAAAAAAAAAGATTAAAACAAGATTTTTCATCCAAACTAAGAGATAGAGGATACAGTGTTAGAACTATTTTGTGCAAAATTGTAAACAAAAAAAGTTTTGTTTAAAACTTTTCAATATCTCTTAAAGTTTATGACATAATCATCAAAAAAATTATTTAGAATCCTGCGTTTTTTCTGGATCACTCCTGGCATTGCTCTAAAAGTATTCACCACATTCAGTATCAGCCATTGCCAATATTAGAACAGATCGACAAAAAGACAAAAATTTTAAAAAATATCTTAATAGCGTACAAATAAACTCCCGAGCTTAATAGAAACGAATTATTAAAAATTACGGACAGACACTTTAATTTTATTTATATGTACAGATGTATAGACTGTGTTCTTTGGTCGTAACACAGAACAAATAAAATTATTAACCACATCATCATTTTATGATTCTCACTCAATGAAATTAAACAAGTTAGTACATCTTTGCTCGTTTACGAATTAAATAAAGGTGCTAAATGGATCTTCATCAAGTCATAGTTTCCTTATCGGTATTTTAGAAACCTTTTCAATCCCTGGTTAAAAGCAGTAAAAGGGTAATAAGCTAATTTTAAATTTGACTTACTACATATTATATATATCAGACAAGGAGCCAATAATATTTTATAATACTAATTTATTATATACAAAAAAGTTTATTTATATGAAATGTCATCTTCTGTTATTGTGTCCCTATTTTGGTCATACTCATCAGTAGGTATCGTACGATGAGACTACGGGAAATGTCAGAACAAAAAAAAACTTACTTGCAACTGTAAAAAGCTTTCGATAGATGGGGTATACGATCCCGTTTTACGTCAGAAGTAAAACACCGAAACCGGCGACGGGCAGGTGCGTCAAAAGGTGCAAGACGTCTGGCACTGCGTTCATTAAACCACTGGCCAACTTGGCAGTGCTAGGAGTGCCAAGTGAGGCAACTAAGGCAAATTCTCATCAAGAGGCTCATGTCCAGCAGCAGACTTTTACGAGCTGATGAGAAACAAAATGAAGATCCTCTTCACGTCGGAAACATATCACAGGTGGCGATGAGCCTCTCATATAGTAGAAAGGATTTACCGCAATAGCAGCGTGGCGGTTTGGCGATTGTAGTTGTCTGGCATCATTTATAACCGCATATTAATTATTACATCACCAGTTTTATTACAATTATATTGGTATAGTTTAAATACCAAGTATGAGATAGAATGCAACATTTAAGAACTATTTAGTTTAAGATAATCGGTACAGGAATTTAGAATCGAAATAGTGAAGAAATAATCGAATAGATAGCGAAAGCCCGAATGACATCAAAATTAATAGGAAGGCCCGAATGATATCAAAACTATGTTTTATTGTGATAAATAAAGTAATATATGTAATTTAGAATAATTCATTAAAAAAACAACGTAATTAAATACGATTGATATGCAATATTGTTGTATTAGAAAAACAGCCTAAAATATTATTGACTCCTAGACTACTATGCTTACATAAGAATGTATTATCATATGAGAAAAGGCATCGGGCAGTGCTCGTATTCACATAATTACTAAGCTTTCGAATTCTTTCGTTTCATTCAGGTCAAGGCACTGAAAATTAAATCTACTTTTATAATTACATAAAAACTATTTTCGCTTGAATCGCACCACAGAAGCATTTTTCTGATAATTTATAAAATTACATACACTAATTGTATTTTAACATTATTGTTAGCTTCTGGATAGCAACAATTAATTCCAAAGTTATAATTATGTAAAAGCAATCTAAACAAATTGACATTAAAGCCTCAATTTAATAAAAATTACCAAACAATGTACAATCTGAATGATTTAATTATCAATATATTTCAGTGAACATTTAAACTATTAATTAGTAATAATAGATTTAACTTAAGAAAAATCCCTGTAATAATGAAAATAAGGAAAAAATGTATGAAAATAAACATTTTATTTGACACAACAATATAACCATTACCAAAAATGTAATTTATTCTTGAAAATAACGATTGGAATAAGTGCGAAATAGCACGCTTTTATTGACAACACAATATAGGCACATTGACTAACTTATGTTTTATCAATATTGGTGTTATTTTCGATTAAAAATCACGAGGCTTGGGCGTAACTTCTGATGGAGGGGCTATTTATTTAAGATGTTTTCATTTAAGATTATTGACTATGATTAATTAGGATAGATATATTTCAAGTTAGAATTACATGAAATTACAAAACAACAAAAATGTATTTAGGTTTCGTAGTAACATATTAAGTGAAAAGTGAATTACAATTTAATGCCCATGTTATTTCGAAACTGTACAAAATACAAAGGAAGCTACGCCCAATCCTGAAACGTCTCCATATCCTCACTTCATCAGAGCCCTCACAACTGCCTCCGGGTTCAGGGCCTTCAAGTCGGTATAAGTCTGTCCCGTACCAACGAACACAATCGGCTGCCCTGTTATATACGTCATCGAAATAGCGGCACCGACCTTGTCGTCGATCGTGTCAAACTTGGTCAGTACTATGCCATCAATTACGTGAGGGTTGGAAGATGAGCTGTGATCGGCGAGGGCCTGGTTAAACTTGACCAACTGGTCCACTGCCTCATTGCCAACGAGAGCTTCACCGACGAAGAGCACCAGATCTGGTTCGTTGACGGTGATCAGTTTGGCCAAGGCCCTCATCAGAGGCTCGTTGTCTTGCATTCGGCCAGCTGTGTCCACTAGCACGACATCGATCTTGGAGTCTGCCGCGTAGCGGATTGCTTCCATCGCTATTCCCGCGGCGTCTTTACCTAGGGGTTTGTGGAAAAATTAAACAATATTATATATCACGGCATAAATCGAAAGTGCGGTTACATCTGAAATTAGCCGGTAAAATTTTGGTACAACCGCTTGTGGTAGATCAAACTTAGGCATCATAGTATACTATGATACATACACAATAGAACGGGGGAGTGGGCGGTGCCTGTGTAACCACTAACATGTCAATTCACACCTATAAATGTCAACACATCTCTTTTGACGTCACAGTCGTTGCCCAATTTTTGTGTCAAGCGTTGCTGGGTGCCAATTTATTTCGAAAACGCCAATTTGTGTGATAACTACGTATCGAAAAACCAGCCAGATGTGAAATTTGAATAAAATTGGTATATTGTTTCACCAGTAACTCGAAACTATTTATATTTTATTAATATTAGAATCAAAAATAAAGAAATATTGATGTGTAAAACCAACAGTAATTGTCGCTTTTAAAATTGTACTTGGTATAATGACAAGATAAATAAATGCGATCAAATACGATGGAAAAGGGTAATTTAATGACCTACGTATAAATTGTTATAACATTTTTTTATTAAATTTTAATTTTATCCCTCTATGGGCTCTATATCTCTTGACACTGGTATCTTGTAAAAAATAAGTTTGGCAGCCATTCTATTGTGTACTATAGTATTCTATGTTAGGCATATGTATTTGATTTGTTCGTGACTAAAACGAGTTGCAGCCAGTACTATTCAATAAATAATTAAAACAGATGAAGTAAATACCAACCGTATCCCTTCTCGTACAGATGTACCATACGTCTCGAGTGCACTTGCTGAGGATGGAGTGCGTCCAGGCGACGGACATGAGTCCTCAACTGCTCCACAGCTCCAGCCCTGAACGTGTCGCAGGCCGCTATCAACACGGACAGGTCGTTCTCCAGTAGCCAGAAACACACTTTAGCCAAGTTCGTCGATTTACCAACACCATTCACCTGGAAAAATAATAATAATTAATGTACAATGCTTTTAATTATTAAATAAATAAAAAATGCTTTTATTTCAGACCTAGATCCAAATAAATTGTTACCGTAATTATGTATAAACACTTTAAAATAGATTCTCCCAGTGACTTAGCATATTATGCCCATCACATCATCCAGAATGCTGTTGCAACTGCCACGCATTCTGCTCAACAGGGAGTACAAACTTAACAAGTGGTAAAATTAAAAATTTTGTACAGCCGACTTAGATATAAATACATAAAATAAGAACATCATCAATGAAGTCGCAATATTAAGGATAGCTCAAGAATTACTGGTCAGATCTTGATCAAATTTATATGGGACACCTGAGAAGTATCAGCTTTCCAAATAAAAAAAAGAAAAGTTCTAAGGTAACACAAAAAAACAGTCAAATTGAGTACCTGCTCCTTTTTTGAAGTCGGTTAAAAAGTTGAAGGTAGCCTTCGTTAACTATGACATCAGGACTTCAAACACCTCAGTCCCTCCGTGACCATGGGTGTAGTGTAAAATGCTCGAAACGTGAGAAAATCCGTAAAATTTGTTTTATTCCACGTATTCAAGTAAATATAAGAAATTTGTTGTATTTACGTAAATACAAGAAATATCACCATAAGTATAGTGTAACAAATAATTACTTATTTAAAAAAAAATGCAAATAAAACTTTTAATTAACATTCAAAATTACGTAGCGGTAAGTTTAGTGTTTAATGCAAGTAATTTTATGAAAATTAGTTCGGCCACTTTTACACCTAACAATCTGTTCTAGTTTTCTTCATATATAAGTCCAGCTCCGAAAAATAATAATTATTGCTATAGTAATTATTGTTCACTGGCGATGCCGCGTACCACCTATACACCAAAGCTAACTGAAATTTGTGCAAACCCTTTAAAGAGCCACATTTAGGTTTAGCGAGTAGGTAATTTAGTAAAGCCCTAGCAAGAAAGTACGACGTAAATAAACTTTGAATCTAAAATACTCATTCAAGTTTCTTTAAAAATAATTATTTCTTACCGTGACCATGGGTGCTGGAAAGCACCCGAAACGTCGGGTATTAAAAATAACAAATAATCGCGATAAAATCCGTAAAAATAGTTTTAATCAATAAAAATAATTAATTTATACTTCAAGTAAAAAATATTGTAATAAATGTTAGGGTTTACTTTGGTTTGGTTAAGAGTTTGTGCTCACAGAAAGACGTGTTTACTACGTGATGATTTATTTGCAACTGTTTTTACAAATTATGCCTTTAAATATTGAACCTATTCACACATGCATACGTATTCACACTTACGCTCACTCTTACACTCGTATAGATCATTATATCCGAACATACCGCCCACCAAAGGGCCTATGAGCCCTTTAACAATTTTATTACACGTTACAACGTTTTGATTACAATAGACTCAAAGATAACACAAAGAAAAAATAAAGACACAAAATCTGTACACAATTAAACACATAGAATATAGATAAACACAATTTGCCCTAGTTATAAACAAAATAAATCATGATTCAATGTCTGTTGGTAAGTAACACAGCTTATTTATTATTTCATTTACAGATCTTTGCACGACACGACAAATGAGACATTTTCTAATCCTTGATTTTACTAACATTCTAGCTCTTAGGATCCAGAATCTTGTTCGCAGAAAGCAGAGCATTACTAGAACTCCACCGTGTAGCATTTTAGAGTGTTCATCAGCGACGAGAAGAGAGGTAAGATAGTGTCATGATCAAGGATAATTGGATTTTTGCTGTCTTCATTTAGGTCTGAGTGACGCAGTCGGCCGCCCACCCTGAGGATATTATCATCGTCCATGTAAGGTTTTAAACTCTTTAGTTTACTGGCTCTTTTAATTTGTTCCTTTGATTTCAGGTGCTGTATTTCCTCTTCGAAGCTGTCCCTCTGAGTTATTTTTATGCAGGTTTTAAGCGCATCATTAAGTTCCGTCGTGGTCACAGGTAAGTCTTTGTATTCCATTTTCTGTCCCTTCAAGAATCTTTTAGAATATAATATAATCACCTTAAGCAATTCTTGCAACTTGACACAATCCTCAAATTTTGTACTAATACTCTTCTCTTTGTCTAATTTCAAATTTACATGTATTGATTTCTTTCTTTCCAGGTCTGTCCAAGTTGTATTTGTTCTGCTGTATTGGATTTCCCCTACTCTCAGCCACTCTGGGCCCTTCCACCACAGTTCATCATTTTTCAGCTCTTGCAATGATTGCCCTCGTGAAGCGGAGTCAGCTGGGTCCTTTGGCGATTTGACATGATACCAATTATGATTGCCGATTGTGTCAAGTATTTCAACAACCCTGTTTCTCACGTAAGTGCTCCATCTTGCAGGATCACCAAACAACCACGAGAGTACAATGGTTGAGTCATGCCTGATGGTAAATGGCTTCCTCAGTCAAATGACTTCTGCCAACTTCTCGGCTAACTGCAAACAAAAGAGACTTCAGATGTGTTGTCTACTCTAAAAACCAAGACGGATATACTAGCTGTTATACTAGCTCTCAATTACCTCAGACTGATACACTGAGGGCTGTGTTCGAGATTGTTTTCAATAATCGTCACGTTTGTCGGTTGCAGTACTCTACTTATATATTTACTCTTATAATACCCTTCAGACAGGACACTACACAATAGTGAAGGCACTGCTATATTTGTGGTCCAAGCAAATATCTGACAGGCAGGTACGTTCATTGATTCCTTTATCTGTTTTAAAATACCAGCAAGCAGTACAGTGCCACTTGGTTCCAGACGAGATAGGGATTGTGGTTTTGTAGGTGCAACCTTGGTTTTAGCAGCGATGATTGATGCCTTCACTTCGCCGCTTTCTGTTCTTACTCTTAGGTAGGCTACTGCAGCGTAAGCTCGAGATGATGCATCACAAAATCCGTGGATAGTAACATTGTTTAGTGTGGCTTCAGTAGTATTTACCAATCTGTTTACTTCGATATTAGGTAGGTACATATGAAACGAATCTCGTATATTGTTCCATTCTGCAGCAATCGTTTTGTCCACCTCTTCATCCCATGCTACTCATTCCAGCCATAATCTTTGGATTAGAAGTTTGGCAGGTAAGACAGAAGGTACCAACCAGCCCAATGGATCAAATAATCTTTGTAGATCACCCAGAATTGTTATCTTTGTAATTATATTTACCGTAGCTGGTAGGTTTAAGCTTGTATTGAAATAGATCTTTGCCAATGTTCCAGTGTAGTCCTAACGCTCGTGTAATCTCGTCTAATGTTATGTCTAGTTTTACATGAGAACTTCTTTCTGACTCTTCAAATTCCTTTAGGAAGTCTGCATCATTAGAACACCATTTTTTTTAATTTGAAGCCTCCCTTCTCTAGTATGCTGTCTACGTGTTTGGCTGGTCTGATAGCATCGGTGAGGTTGTCTTTCCCGGACACCTTATCATCCATGAAGTAATCTATCCTTATTATTTCTGCTGCTTCGAGATGGTTTTGGCCCTCGTCATGAGCTACTTGGTGCAAGGTTCTTACTGCCAAGTAAGGAGCAGAAGCAGTTCCGAACGTGACTGGTAAGTCGGTAGTCCTTGACAGGATCTTGATCATCATATCTCCAGAGTACTCGTTGCAGATCCCTCTTCTTCCGTACTTCAGTCTTCTTTCGTGACCATGATTTGGAGATACATTTTTGTATATCTGCTACAAAGCAGACTCTTTTCATCCGCCATCTCTTTATAAGACTTCTCATGTCTCCTTGTAGCTGTGGTCCCGCCAACAGCTCGTCGTTGAGTGAGATGTTGTTGGTTCCTCTTTGTGATGCATCAAATATGTTCTAATTTTTGTAGTTTCCTTTCTTCCTTAACAACAGCATGATGTGGTAAGTAAACCGATGGATTGTTCATTTCGTTTCTGGGTACCTCTTCCATGTAATCTGATTCGTAGTCTTTCATAACTGTAGCATAATCGTTTTTTAGTTTCGGGTTTTTCTTGAATCTTTTTTTAAGAATATTAACAATGCTATAAACATTACTAATATTCCCCTTAACCACTTGTGGTAAGCTAACACAAGCAATTTAGCTTGTGTTACGAGTGGTTCACGCCAGTAGTCGAATGATGGATTCTAACCCACGACCTTTTTGAGTTCGCGGTCCGCGCCCTGCCATTAGGCTACTGTCGCTTTTTTGTTCTAATTGATAAAGACTCTGTAGAGCTATTGTTCGCGTGTTTCCTTGGGTAGATAATAATGTTTTAGGTTTCTTGGGTAGTGTCACAATGTAACGTCCGTCATTATTTCTGATGGTTGTGGTTTCGTAGATTTCCTCGCACCTTCGCTCATCTGATGTAGGTATTACTTTATCGTATGCATCTTGTTCCCACATTCGTTTAAGCATATCGTTTAGGTCAAGATTATGGTGCATAACAATCAATTTATAGACGGGTTTGTCTTCCACGCTCCCAAACAGAATCCAACCCAGGGTCATATTTTTAGCACAAGGTGTTCCTGGGGGTCCCTTTGATAACTCCGCTTTTTATTATTTGAGCACACACGTCGACTCCTAGTAATAGGTCTACTCGCCTTGGTTGATTATAGCTTGCGACAGAAACTTTGCAAACTTGCACTTGCAAGGACTTGCCACAAAACAAGTCCTTGCAAGTGCGGCTTGGTGCTTGTAGAGATAGTTTCAGTGGGCAGTTGGGTAGTCTATTGCGTCGACATTATGTACGTTTTGATTCTTATGTTGAAGCTTGGGTCGTGCCCTTGAGAAAAGTTCAATTTCTGCAGCATGTTTAACGTTTGTTTTAGTAGAGCCAACGCCATAGATAGTGCCCTTGATAGGCGTTCTCCTTAATCGTAACATCTGGGCTGATCTTTCACTCATAAACGTAGCCTGGGAGCCGTGGTCAATCAATGCGCGTAACACTGTCACTTGTTTTGAATCGTAACCTCAGAGTGCGGCACAACTACACCAAGCGACATGTGATGA